TTATTCCAGTTCCAGAGGCAGAATAAGTTAAGAGCAGTAAAACTGTTGTACCAGTACCAGTGTCTACACCAGCGCTACGTCTACACTGCCCTCTCTTATGCAAAAAAATATGCAAATGAGGCAAAGCGTGAATATTGCCACGCCTCATTTGCATAATTAACTAGGCTCCATTTTTGCGCAAGAGGCTTTTGTGCAAAAATAAGCCATCTACACGGCTCCTTTTTTCGCAAAACCCCCCTCTTGCACAAGAGCCGTTCTTCTGTTCTTTTTCAGGAACGGCTCCTCCTCGTGCAAAAACGGAGCCTAATTAATTATGCAAATGAGGCACGGCAATGTTCCATGCTTTGCCTCATTTGCATAATTTTTTGCATATGAGAGGGCAGTGTAGACGTAGTTTTACTGGCATAACTCTATCAGTAAAAATCACCCCCTCCCAAGTGACAAAGTGCTGCTGGCATAGTTTAAAAGTGTGGTCATACACTAGAGTGTGAGTGTAGAGTGTGTCGACACTAGAAATGCTACAATAGTGCAACTGTAGCATAGACCAGTGCTACAGCAGCAGGAGGGGTTCCTCCATCGCTGTAGTAAATCCACCTCTCAGAGAAAGCAGCTAGGTTGAGGGCAGACTTCTTCTGTCAACTTAGTGGTGCCTACACCAGGGATTCCATCACAGAGGGTATGACATTTTTCATAATCTTTGATGCATGGACCAGCCTGAGACCGAGACCCGAAAAGGTATTTACGGCCTAACTTGAGAGGCAGCTGCCTAACACTTTTGAGGATTTGGCCCTACGGGATTTAGGTCACAAGGCTCTTGTGAGGCCCGTCTAGAACCCTAATCCCTGAGCCATCCTACCTCTCTCCATCTGAAGCAGATTCCCACCCCTGCCAGAGGAGGTGCAGCCAAGCCGCTGTCTCACTGCAGGAGACAGTGAAGAAGGAAGCTACGGCTGCGTAGGTAATACAGCCGATGGAGCAATCTCCCCTAGTAATAATGCTGCATTGCACATCTACTGCACCTTGCATCCATGGATACCAAAACACTTGCAAGTCAACTATGCACATGTATAGGGAAACTGAGGCAGAGAGCAACAGTAATTCACCCAAGGTCACACTGAAGTTCAGTGGCAGAGATGGATGGATACTATGACCATGGATGCTGTAGAAACCCATAAGGTAGATGGATCACACCCAGTAGTCCTGATTCTAGCATCTGCCCAAGAATCCCACTTGGTACCTAGCAGTGCGGGCAGTAAGGTGTCTAGTTCTATGGTTCCTTCCTCATATTTACTGCTGTATATGGCCAGAGAGCAGGATAAGACCCATGGGTTTGGAAAGTCCCTGCCACAACTGCTAAGCACTGGGAACGCAGCACAGTGGGGGCTGAAAGGGAGTCTGGAGGATGGCTGGTAGCACTTAGGGATTTATAGCTGTTAAGCCCAGTGGTCTGGAACAGGTGGGAGCTGAACACTTTG